CTCGCTCGCTCGCAATCCACAATTACGTTATATCTGTAGCTGCCATCGCGCGCGCACGGCGCTCCGCCGATTACCCGCGCTCATGCCTGGAAAAGCGGGCAGAAAAAAAGCTAAACGGAAAAGCGGAAAAATAGACGCGGGGAGAGGGGGAGAGGAGGACGACCCTCAAAAATGGATGTGCTCGTTGCCGTCGTCGTTGCGATGGCAAGCAGACCTTCCTGGAAGACTTCCAAAAACGTGCGGATTTTCTCACCGCAACGGATTTTTCCCCAGCTCCGAAATTTGGCCTCGTGATCCGCGTCGGACTCGCCGCTTTCTCGCTGTTTCGAGAGTCACGAGGTAACACGTGTCAGTGGTCGAGTAAACTCTTCGCTTTACGAACGGATGCGGGGATTACCGAATCGACTCGGATTCGCCGGGAATCGAGCGCTCGAATCATTTGCACGTGTTACCAGCGTAAAGAAAAAAGGATGGGGAAGAAATCGACGTAACCCGAGGAAGACGCGACGGCCGACGGAACACTTCCCGGAGAGCGCCGTCCGACTTACGCTCGCTATTTACTTTATTTCTATTTGCACGCTCTCTCCTAATACCTTTTTACGATAATACCTTTGCACAAGCGTGCGGCGGTAATCTCATTAGTGTTCCGCCGCCGTCGACGACGACACGGATCGATCTCTCTCGCTGTAATTATTTCCGGGCGCGACGGAAAGGAAGAGACGGGGACAAAATTGAAATCGAAACGAGAGAGGGAGACGGGGTGGGAAGGGGTTGGGAAGAACGAGGGGAAGAGAGGGAGGACAGAGAAAGAGAGAGAGGAGGGGAACGGTATCTCGCGCGGGCATGAAATTTGCGGACCGTGGGTTTGCTCGCTCGCTCGCTCGCGCGCGCTTCCGCAGAACCGCAATATGCATTGGTAATTACACCGCGATGAATTACACCGCGGAATGAGCGAAGCGTGTTACGTGCAATTGGCGCGAGCATTATAAATCTCGTCACGTGCAAACAGTTGGCCACCTCGTCTCTCTCTCTTTCTCTCTCTATCCATTGACACGACCACCACCATCACGACCCCCGGCCGTCCGACGGAATCTCAGATGAAACTGCTGGAAGAAACTTCTGCGAACGAGGGCGTGCGTCATACCTTTAATGACGCCGCCGTCGGCCGATTTCGATCTATTATTACACGCGGCTACACTCGCACAGACGCACGCGCGCGCATTATTATCGCGACTCAATTTTCGCGCACGTCAGATACGTAGTGCGGACCCGATTAAATTTCGACCTGGTGAAAAAGAATGGTTTCGATTCTCTGCGGAATAATCGTGCCGTCGCGTAATCTCCGCGCTCGAGAGATTGAGTCACGTACTCGCACGACAGTAACGAATTTGCTAATTATTATCGCGGCGATAATGCGTTCGATCGCGGCCAATAGGGAACGCCCGCCTCTGACCAGACCGCCGGGCCGCGCGATGCCTTCGATTAATTCGCGCTACGTGCCGCGAATCGCGAAAGAACGAAAACAACGGCTGCACACACGTGTCGTTAACGAAAAGCTTGATTTTAGCTCGTCGCACTCGGGTCCGGTGGACCGCTGAACCTTTTTCAGCTTTCTAGTTTTCACATGACGTACTATTGTTGTTTTCTTTCTTAAAGTAACAGATGTACGCTGCAACGAACGAACGTTATTTTTTCTTAAATCCCATTTGTAAAACTATCTGAGAATTTTTTTTCCGAAAACACTCCTTTTTACAATTTCTTTTCCTAATAATTAATAAAAAATAAAAAATAAATTTTTCTAATATCAAGTTTAGTTTAAATCCAAATCATTTTCTTGACCTGATATAAATCTCTTATTCGGACTCTCTATTTCCGATTCTCACAGGCTTGAAAATATTAATTAGAATAAAAATGACAAAGCGAGAAGTCTCACGGACAGGAGTGTGGCGAGAATTAACCTTCCATTAGTCTCAATATTTTTCACCCATGAATGATCGTAATGTGCCTCACAGGTACATTAATTTTCCCCCATTATTTTCCACCGCTTCTTGAAACAATTTTTCTTTCATTAGCACTTGGCTAATAGGCCAGGCACTAAAGTACATAAAAAACTGAAGAACAAAGAAAGAACACTGATAAGGACGAGTTCGATCTCGAGCAACGGCGATATGTTGTAGCTTGAACGTGCATCTATTGGATATTGCGACTAACGGAGAGTTAAAAACTCAAAAATAAGTATAGCTGGCTAAAATTAATATCTGATTTGCCCTCCATCGCGCAGTCGACGCTTCGGACGCGCCGTCGTCATCGTTCCCCGATCTCGTCCTTTCTGTCGATGCTCTCGATATTCGGATGGATCGCAACCTCCTTCTCGGCATCGTGACTCCTCGTCGTCACCAACGTCGTCGTCGCCGCCGTCGTCGTCGTCGACGCTCCAGTGCTTGACCGAGTTGACACAGGCGGTGGTTATTGGCACTCTGCAGGGCCGCCAGGGCTGTTGACGTACAAGCTGTACAAATATTATTTCCGGGCAAACCGGCCCGTCGATCATTACGAAACCCCAGGCGGAAAGTTTCAACGGTTACTCCTCCCTTCTTCCCCTCATACAAACACACACGTGGAGCTCTCGTGTATCATCGGGTCCTTCGAAGTTGACCACGATGGGCTTGCGCCAATCGCGACGCCCGCACTGACGACGACGGCCCTTAGAAATTAGATCTATTGGTTGGATCGACTCGAGAGCTTTCGACCTCTTGTGCCCAACGAGCGATCGGTATTTAAGAGTTACAACTCGTTGATCCTTATCGGGGCCCCGCATGTCGTCGTACGTTTGCTCGTGGTCTATTTTTAGTATCTATTTCGATACATATCTCTTTTCTCCTTTTCTTTTGTCCACACCCTCTTTGTTTCATGAGAGTGACTTAATCTCGCGTGTTTATCTTACATGCGTCATTTTTCTCGCCGCGCGTTTTCTCCGTCTATCGCATAATCAAAGACGCGATAAAATTCTCCTCCCTCGTCATCGAGTCTGCGATTGATTACCGGCGCGGAGTTTTTCAATCGTCTGAACGATCGTCGCTAATCAATTCAAAGGAATTGAACTTAACCAGACAAGAAGTAGTAATTCGAGTCGCGATTCGATCGACCACGTCTCACGTTTGGAGAGAGAGAGCTCCGGGAGCTCTCGGATAAGAAACGCTAAGCGTTCGCCCGGCTGTTCAAACTTCCCCCTTCCCCCTTCTCGTCGCTCTCGTAGAAATTCGTGACGCGTTTTATAACGTTACCGTGAAATATTGACACTGGCCTGTTTAGCGATTCGTAATGATAATTACGCGAGCGATGACAATACGGTAAATAAGAAGTATTTGGACGTACGTTGCGTTATGAGGTGTGACGTAATGATGGACTGACGTTAATTGCGACCGTTAATTTAGTCGTAACGGATCTCTCATGCTTAATCGCCGATGCATTATCTCGAGATAGTGCGTGTTTCGACTCGGCTACATGTAATGCAAGGGGAATCATAACGCGAGTGGTGAATGATCGGCCGAGTTAGCGAACGAGTGAGTGCGAAAGAGAGAGAGAGAGAGACATAGTCGCGATAACGAGAGGCGGTTTAATAATCCGAGAGAGCGTAAGCGTGTAAGAAAAACTCGCTGTCAGTCGACCCGATCTCTCTCGACAGTGTCGCGCCTCCGCTGGTGAGTTTTTCCCGCGACGGTGGCGTGGCGTTTTTGTCGACACGCACCGCCGTCGTCGCCGGCCAGTCAGCACGCGAAAAAAATTGCGAGATCGTGTATGCGCACACGTGACGCGCGACTTGACACGTGTAACTTCGGCGACCGGACGGACAAACGGACGGGCGGGCGGGCGGGTGGACGCGCGCGCACGCTCGCTTATAGTCCGTGTACACTGTTCACAATAATGAGGAGTTTGCACAGACCGGGATCCTGACGTTCTTCAAACACCGAGAGCAAGGACAAACAGCCCTATATAGACGGATGGACAAACACCGCCTCTCCGACGTATGCGTCGTCGTTCGTTCGTTCGTTCGTCTGTCCACGTAGTGATCGACGCTTGCTATAGCCGACGCGAAGCACGGCGATGCCGAGTATACCTCTATACTCGCTAGCGAGCGAGTCGGGGCCTCTTACCCTTCCCGCCGCTGCGGAAACTATCGACCATCACCCTCGCTCGACAAGCACCATAAGCGATATGCTGGCTAACATTTGCCGGGCTAAGCACACAAATACGATACAGTGCTGTTTGCCCGGTCCCGCCGGCAGTGGTGCTCGGTCGCGCGGCGGCATCGCCGACACACAGAGCCCCGTGTGTTGCCGCCACCGCGCGCTAACGGTTTAATTCGCGTCTCGGGCGCGGAGATGATTTATGCGCGCGAGCGAGTGATCGGGCGAGGACGATGCGCTACTCTCGAGAGATCCTCCCGAGATCCGCGAGAGAAAGGAAGACGGTGCGGAATATCAGGGGAGGAGTGAAAGGGAGAGAGAGAGGAGCGGCGTGCGCCGTGCGGCATGTGCCATCCGACAGAGCAGCATCCTGGCGTGACGGTCGGGTCAGCTGGTCGGTGGTTAGCGAACTATCTCAATTTGCCTAAGCCGCAACCACGGCGACCACGGGAACCGCAACTTCCCTCGTCGCGGCCGCCACCTTTGGCCGTCGTCCTGCCCGTGCCCCTCTCGCGCAGTTCCACAAGTCCTTCTCTGTCGCTTCCTCGTTTTCTCTTACTCTCTCTCCTCTTCTCTGCTGGGAGATCCGTTTCCTCCGTCTGTTTCATCTACCTACCGTGAGGCAGTGAGATACCCGTCTCCTTTTCTTCTCACGCTCACTTCTCTCTCTCTCTCTCTCGCTTTCGAGAATCCTGTGAGTGCTCATAAACTTCGACGCGCGTACCGCTAGCCATCGAAGGAAAATGAAACACCGATAGGCACGTCGTTTATCTTGCGAAACTCGCGACGATTTCGATTCCTACGAGCAAGCGGACGCCTTAAGACGTCGTCCCGTGACTTCACGTCGTGATCGAGTGAAACGCTCGCGAGACGATGATCTCTCGGGACCGAAGTCAATATTCCGAGCTCACTTTTATCAGTAAAAGTGTCTCAAATGTGGCTCCTCGGCCTTCAATCAGATGGCTTGTAAGCCACTTTTAGGGCGGGTTTCAATCTCCGGTTAACTAAATCGACCGGTTAAGTATCAACCTCGATTGGTTACTTCTGGTCAATTCTATTTAACGACAAATGCGACTGGTCAATTCCAATGGAATAATCGGCCGATTAAGTTAATCGGGGGCTGTGAAACTGGCCCTTGGAGGCACTGTTATCGATAAAAGCGAGTTCAGAATATGGGCCCAAGAGCATTTCCGCTCCTTGTGGACGGATCGAGCGCTCTTATCTCCGGGTGGTGTCTCCGCCAAATGTCGTCGTTCGCTGCGCGAGGTGGCGATGGAGCGCACGGATCCGCCGAAGGACGCGATGTTCCCGCGCACTCGGAGGATGTTAACGATATGGATATGTATATTGTATTTATGCGTAGATACACACAGATAAACACACGCGCACACGCGATAAACACAAACACAGTCGGGAGTGCGTCGTGTGCACACGTCCGCGCGCACACACACACACACACACACACGTGACAGAGCGCAGGCTCGTAGTTTCGGTTGTAGCGTGTAATCCTCGCGGACACCGCAAACATGTAATTAACACTTGCTCTCTCTCTGCGTGCGCGCGCCAGCGAGAGCCGCCGTCGCAGCTCTCTCGGGCCGAGATCGTGCCGACTATTGCCGACCGTACACGGGCCACCTCGTGTAATCGCGTATGCACACGCGTCCGTGTGCGTATTCGTATGTGTGTGTGTACATCTACCATCTACCACTCACCCATCCATCCATCGACCTACCCATCCACCCTCGCGCTCGTGCGAGGCTCCAATCTACGGACCTCCCCCTCGTCCTCCTCATCCTCCTATCACTTTCGCTCGCACGGCACCCCTCTGCCCTTTCGTGGTCGAACAGCTGTACGGAGTTAATTATTCGATACAGACGGGAGTGGATCTCTCGCAAGCCGGCCGGCCGGCCGATCGGCTCGTCTGTCCCGTCTGTCCGTCTGCCTGTCGCGAATCGATCGTGGTGTTTCTGCGACGCGGATCGATGTATGACTGACGGAAAACGTTCTTGTTTTTTTTTTGCAGGTTCCTCCCCAGCCCGGCCAACCGATTAAGTTCACAGTTCTGGAGTCTTGCGACAGGATCAAGCAAGAATTTGATTACCTGCAGCAGCAGAACAACACGTGAGTAGCGAGAGAGACCTTATCACGACGCGTTTCGCGAAGGGGTGGGAAGGATGGCACAGAGGGGAAACCCCCTACGCGAAGTAGTTCCCGTTTTTCTTTTTTACCCCCAAGTCGAAATTTTGTTGCTATTCTGGCGCTCTTAAGGATAGTTTGCGCTTACTTTGGACGGTTTATATATTAGTAAAAACCTACTTTGATGATGCTTACACTCTTTAACTTCCTCCTTGAACCTTTAATTCTACAGATTGAATTTCAATGCTACTTTCGGCAATCTATTTTGATAGTTAAAACAGCGAAAACGGTAATTTAAGGCATCATCAGGAGTCAAAGTAGAGGTTGTGTTATATTATTAGAATTGAAATTGAACCTATTTTGCCATTTTCGCTCCTACTATGTTGCACAGTTAAAAGTTTAACACAGGACCAAAATTTCGACTCGGGTTTTTTCTTTGTCTCCATTCCCCCCCCCCCCCCCNCCCCCCCCCTTTCTACGTCTGACGCGGAAGCGCGCGTAAGGATATAGCGAACGGTATCGACGGGGGCGGCAGGAGGTCGCGCGGGGCTCGGCGGAGAAAAGTCTGGGAACGAACGCAGCTGCCGCGCGCTCTTCCGAGTTAGCGCACGCTGCTATCCTACGAGCGTGGTGCTCGCGCGACGGATACGTAATGGCAGGCCGCGAAGTACGCGGACTCGGGCTTCGAGTTTCACCCGGGGACGACGACGACGACGAACGGGGCGAACGGGCGTTGCATTTTTCAGCAGCACGCGGCGCGCGGGTCGAAACTTCTCTCGTTGCTCGACGAACGCGGGCTCTTCCGTCTTTTTTTTTTTATTTCCCCCCTGTTCTCCTCCTTTTTTTCCACTTCTTTCTTCGCCACACGTACGAGGGATATTCCATTCGCAACGTACGCGCGTTTTCGCGGTTCGCGTTCTCTCTTCCCCCTCGTCCGGCCCCCTTCTCTGTTTCTCCACCCTCGCTCACCGCGAGAGCTACTCGGTTGTGTTAGACTCGGGCAAGACTCGGTGTTCTCGCATGCGTTTCACGTTTCTCTTTCTTCTTTGCGCAGGTTAAAGATGGAGTGCGATAAACTGGCTTCGGAGAAGATGGAGATTCAGCGACACTATGTTATGGTGAGTGCAATCGCTGCGTCGTAAAGTTAGAGGTGCCGGTTAGGCGTCGTAACGTTTCCCTCGGCTGCCTCTCGACTCTCTCTCTCTCTCCCCGTGCTTTCCCTCCCGCCCTCCTCTTTCTCTCTCCCTCTCCCGTCTTCCGTATCCAGAATAATCATGCTCGCTCGACCGCTAAACCACCTCGGCTTCTTAGCATTAATTGCATCCTCGCCGAGGCCGGGCTTTACATTGGCTCGTTACGCCGCGTAGCGTACTTGGTTATACAGGTATATAAGTGTGTATGTATGTGCATGCATATATATATATATATATATATATATATATATATATATATATATATATGTGCTTGTGCACACCTTCCGTGCATAGCTAATGACTCTAAGAGCCAGTGGCTCTCATCGAATTAGTCTACAACGCGCGCGCGGCTGTCTCGGACGCTTAATGACGAAGTAATACGCTGTTAGGTCGCAGCGGCGACGCCGGTCTACGGCTCGTTAATATTCCAGCGTCTCTTCATCTCGCCCCTTCTCCACCGCATCCGCGATCAGCATCAGCGCGGCGGCTTTCCGGCGTGACAAATAGGAAAAAAGGACGGACACACCTCGACGGGGGAGTTATTTATGAACTTCCGAGTCTCTCTCGCACGCGCGAGATAGAAAGATGGAAGGAACGATGGAAAAGAAGCGGAGCAGAGCGTATTCGTTGGTGCGACTCTCTTGCGAGCGGCCGGCGGGNTTTCTTTTTTTTTTTTTTCACGCGGTGGAATTTTCAACGAGACCGCGCCGGCCGCTAAATCGTGGCGAAAATAACGCGGAAAATTTCGGCCGAGCGCGTTCTGCAAATCAACGGCGGGGCGATTTTAAAATCGCGCGTTCGCGCTCCGTCTCTCGCGGCCGGACGCGCGCTCTATTCGCGCTGTTAGCCTTTTATTTACCTCTTTATTCGACTGTCGGCCGTGCGGCGATAATTAAATCGAAAACGCCATGTCGGAGTTTTACGCCCGTAGCATCAATTTATCGTTACCGTTTTAATTCGCCGGCGGCGGCGGCGGCCTCGCAGCTTCTCTCTCGCGTTCTCGTCGACCTAATCGGCGCGGAGGCGCCGCGCGCGCGGGCCACCAGTTTAAACGCAATTAATCTCCGCTTAGTCCATTTGATACGAACGCTTCTTTTTCTTTCTCCCTATCTCTCTCTCTCTCGCGCGCGCGCGCTGTCTCTTTCTGGCGCGGCTGCGCCAGCCTCGTTAACGCGCGTTAAGGACGCGCCGCATCGCCGTAACGAACGCTATTGCCCCCGGGGAAAGAGTCGCTCGGCGATTGCTGTTGCCGCTGCAGCCGATCTCAACAACCTAGCGGTGCACTCCACCCCCCCCCGGTACTCGTTTCCAGCATCCACCCCTTCTCTCTTCCTCTTTCTCCTCCGCCTGGTCCTCCTCCTCGCCTCCGTGTCTATCTCTCGGGTGAAATAACTTACTTACGGCGCAATTAATTCGCCCGTGTAATTACCGGGCTAATGGCCCGTAAAATTAAGAACCTGTAACCCGGCTGGAGCGCGTTACACGCGTGCGTTCGCCTCCTCATCTCGTATTTCTCACGCGGAGCGCGCGTGTGCGCTCTCTCTCTCTCTCTCTCTCTCTTTCTTTTTTCCTCTCCTCTTCTCCGTCTGCAACTGCGGTCTCTCAAGTACACTCGGCCGGACACGAGTGCGTTATCGCGATTAGCGATAATTAATAACGCGTTTGCGTCGGAACCCGTCCCGCGCCGCGCCAACCGACCGTAGGCTGCGATTCGCCGATTCGCGGTGTAACGGCGACTCCGCGGATCGGGAATCGGGACGAATCTCTCCCGATTTCACGAGGAATGTCTGTCGGATTACGTGTACGCGTTAATCGATCGTTAATTCACCGAGGCATATAATTGCACTGAACCGCGACGGAGTCGCCGTCCGGGATTAATTGTTCCCATTTGCGCGAGAGGAAGAGAATTAGAGTTATAGAGAGAGAGAGAGAGAGAGATGCTCGTCAATTACGCAAAGCTCGCTAAGACTAACGCATTAATCACACTGGGAAATTTCTCTGTTGCAGTATTACGAAATGTCATATGGCCTGAACATGGAGATACAGAAACATGTAAGTACAAAATCCCAATTGTCGTCGAGATTTTCCGCTCGACAAGAGAGCACTGCTAATCCAAACGCGTAATTTTATACGCTTTATGTCGCCACGTTTGTAATTTACACGTGTTACTAATGTAATTCTACACATATAAAAGTATAAAAATTATAATTTTACGCATAAGTGTGGTAAAATTACACGGTAAATCCAAGTGTGTGTAATTTTTATATATACTCACTTATATTTACGTGTGTAAAATCATAGTTGTAACATGCGTATAAATGCGTGAACAGTGACTACATGTAAAATTACACACACTTGGATTCGCAGTGCGAAAGATGGGCGCTCTCGTGTTTCGCTTTAATCCGCGTGACCCAGTGTCGACGTTGGGCCAGGTTCAAAAAACCTGCGCCAGCATTTTTGGAATTCTCACGGTGACTTAACCGAATCGCGACGGGGGAGGGCTTGGTGTGCTTTCCGCCCCCTCCCTTCGTCCTCTCGTAAATACGTCTCATTATTCGCGCGTCCCGCGAGCGCTTTATTCTTGGAACGATCATACGCACGCACCTACGCACACGCTCGCTCATTTATTCACTCGCTCATCCACTCGGCGAAACTAGTATCCACGCGTGAGACCGGCGAACGGACAGACGGACGCGACGAAAATAGAGGAACGCCCTGTTGACAGGAGATCGCGACGGAAATATGTAGCCAGCCCCGCTCATTACTCGCGCATTTAAAGACGACGCGAGGCGACGAGGTCGGCCGTCCGACTCGCGCTTTCATTACTCACCCGAGAGACGCGTTTCTCTTCGCTCGAGGATGCTATACAGCCGTGGGATACGCGCTCGTGCTTCACACCGGACCTCGACTATTACTATTAACTCACGCGCGACATCCACGCGTTGGCGCTCCCCGCCGAGAATTCCGATCCGTTTGTTGTCGGGCTATCGGTTAAACGAAATGGAGCGATGAGGGTATTCGAGGAACACTTGATTCCGAGACCACTGCAAATCCAGCGTGTAAAAAAAAATTATTTTGGATTTTTGCAGTGATATGGTACGTTTTTCCGAGGGAAAATCTCTTCGCGCGGGCTTTCCTGTTTTTATTAGCTGTATCTATCTCGACACGAGTTTAATTTGGGAACAAATGATCATTTCTGCAAATTATTAGACCCATCGCGTCGCAATGACGTCTCCTATGCACGTTGCGCTTTCCTGAGCCAGACGTGCATATTATTAATCGCAAACCTAACATGATGTTATTATTTCTCAATAACGGAACCCTTAATAAACTAAGATTGCGTAGTAAAAACAGGTGTAAAGCGAGTTACAATCTATACTTTCGTTCTTTCTGAACACGAGCTTAAATAAATATGCACACGTCCTATAAATCCGCCAGTTAAATGCCAATGCAAGGAATTAATTATTCCTAATGTTACTATCCAGTTACTTTTTTTCTTTGACAAATCACTAAAAGTTCACTATTGTTTCTAATAGTCATTACAATCACTTTTTTCTGAGCTGCCATTAGATTTATAAAATATAGATGTTCTATATATATATTTCTACCGTTTCTCTTAATGAAACTTCTTCGAAAGAGTACTTATGTTATATTGTTCATACCTTTGGTTTTTCCACGTTATAAATTTTCAAACCGTACTATGAAAAGAACTCGTTATATGTTAAGTTATCCGAAGATAAATGGGAAAGGAAGATTCGAGTAAATGTTATTTTTTTGCTTAAATGACCTTAGTTATTCTCAGAGTTTGACAAAAAAGGTTATCTTTTGTCACTACTCTTACATCTGAGAAGTTACTTTTTATTACCTTTTCTACCAAGAAGCAGTTACTACTTCACTTTTTTTGTTCCGGTGACTGAATGGCAACATTGAATATTCCGTGCTGACTTTTTTCCCTTTTTGAACAAAAATTCTTGACATGTTAGCTTTTTCTATATCGTAAGGATGATGGGTTTCAAATTATAAATTTAGGATTTACGAGACATACGTGACCCATCAGACGTTGAAAGGTTGAACCGCTTTAACTCTTTAGAATGCGAACCACGTCTATAGACGTGTGACGAAAGTCTTCGCCGTGTGCGAACAGCGACTAAAGACGTCGGGCAATCAATGTTACTGCACAGTAAAAAATTTTGTGTTACAAATTATTTGATCCACCCAAATTTTTGTGTTACTTTAGCAAGGCGAATATATTAAAAAATAATATGTTAACAAGGTGAATATATTAATATATCATATAATTTAACATATTGTGTTTATGTTATCTCAAAATTTTGTATTGTATCGATCTTCAACATGTATAAGTGCCAAAATAATATATTTTGTACTTCAGTGTCAATTAATGTATTAATTCTGTGTTAATTTCTAACGTAATATTTGCGTTACTTTTCAATATATTTTTTTCTTATACACTTTATATTAAATTAACACAAAAATTTCAATAGACCATTTGGGACACGTGAAATGTGTTAAATTTAACACAAACATTTTTTACTGTATGACAACTAGCTCCACGTCGCACACAGCGATCATCTTGCTTCTGAGTGGTTCGCACTCTAAGGGTTAATTTTGAACATTTTTAAACAATTCGCCATGCGCAATCGCTCTCTGTTACAGAGTGAGATATCCAAGAGACTGAACGCTATTATCGCTCAAGTACTGCCGTTTCTGCCGCAAGATCACCAACAACAAATCGTTGCCGCTATCGAGAGGGCGAAGCAGGTGTCAATGGCGGATTTAAATTCCGTAATAGCGGTAAGTGCACAAACACGACGTGGTACGGTAACACGTGGACGCGACACTACGCGGATAGACTCGGCGACGAGTACTGCATTATATCTACAAATTAGTCCGGCGCGTGAGCGACACGGGGTACTCTCGATCGTTATCCCTCCGACGATGATCTTCCCACCGGCGGCAGCATCCGGCTGCTCCCGATGTTCTCTTCATCGTTTTTCGTGGCAAAACGTGCTCGCGGCGACGCGCGGCGCTGCTCTACGTACGCCGGTCGCCGCGGGATTCGCATTCGGCGGACGCGTCGCGTGTAATTGAGTTCCGAGTTGATTCCTGCGCGCATGACCCGAATAATTTCCTCTGAGGCTCTCACGGACGTCGCCGCCGCCGCTGCCGTTGTCGAAACAAAGCACGGTGCATCGAAAAAAAAATAACCGGCGTTTCAGCGGACACGAATTGACGACGCGAGCGAACGAATGAATTCCACGGCCGAAATTCTTATTTCGAGAGTTGGGGATAATCACTGCTCAAATTCAAGCGTGTAATTTTACACACTTTATGCAATTACTTTTTATGTATTTGTAATTTACACATGTTACTGATATAATTTTGTGTATATAAGTATGTAAAAATTACAATTTTATACACATAAATGGATAAATATTGCACTGCAAATTCAAGAGTATAATTTTTACGCTTATGTGTGTAAAATCGTAATAATAACACGCGTACGAATGCGTAAAAATCGACTATATGATTTTACGCACATAAGTGTGCGAAATTACACGCTTTTGAATTAACAGTGCAGTTACAGAGTCGAAGCGGTTGCTCTCTCCGTCTCTCTTTGATATTCTACTTGATTTGCTTCGCTCAGTTTTCCACAAATCCGTTTTTACGAGTCATTATAATTAAATCGAAGAAACTAAGAACCGTTTGTCACTTTAAGCCACGATTCGGCTAACGTTCGCTCGCTCGCTCAAAGAAACGTCTCTCACGGCGACGAGAGTGCGGTAAGGGTGCGATCGCACGGACAAGGTCGCGGTTGCGAGACCACAATCTCGACAATCCGTCATCACAGCGCGTCGCTGTTGCGCGGAATACAATTAACGTGCACGCGAGAGTGGTGTCACGACGTACGCCGGGTCCGGTCGAGAGAGAGAGAGAGAGAGAGAGATTGCTCGCATACCGGTGGCAGTGAAGGGGTTTGCGCGACGAAAGTACGAGCGGGGTTGCGGGACGCAAAACGGAGGACAGGGGAACGCGCGAGGGGACGATGAAGGGACGATGAAGGCAAATAGACAGAAGCGCTAACCCTCATGAATATGTATTATTCAGTAAACAGAGGTTGAATCAATATTTCGTTTAATAACACCGCGCGAGGAACGTATAGTCCTCTCCGCCCCGTTATACCCCCCTCTTTCACCCCCACCGTCTTCCCTCCCGCGCGGTACCTCGGATGGCGAAACGCGATGGTGGTGACGGGGATCCCCGATCCTTCTCCCCCCTCTCTTCTCTTCCCGCTGTTTCCCGCCGATGCACGTCGCCGCTACCCGGTCGCGCGTATTATTCACGGCGCGTTAAACTTCGCTCTCCGGACCGTTACGTGTTTCGTTTCGCGACACGTATATCGTGATCTTCCGGAGCGCGCGACGCGACGTTTCTTCGACTTGGCGATCTCACGAGGAGGAGGTAACGCGCGCGAGTTTTGGGCGCCTCGCCGCGCTTTGCAAAGCGCTTCTTCGTAGGCCGTCGCGTTTCTCTTACCGATTTATGATCGATATTTTGGGACAGTCGTGTTCGGAAATCGGATATTTCTCACCTGTTTCTCATCGGTTTCTCATGTCACGATCAACACGAGTGATAACGCTGTCCGGTCACTGAAACAAGAAAAGGTGAAATATTGGTTGTTTCTTGCGGAGTGACAAAAAGTAATCTCTCAGATATCAATACATGGAAGGAATGTTACGCTAAAATTATTACTTACGTATTTTTTTTCTTCTTTTTAATTAAACACGCACATGCACAGAGAGAGTGTTGTTAGTTCGGAATACCTGGGTAGCCTTCCAGTAACTGAGTATACGACTCATTTCCGACATTATCTGCTGTCGTTAGAAAAATGATTGATAACATTTGAAAGTAGCCAAACACTCGGTTATTGAGAGGTTCGGGCAGTCAAAATTGACAGCATTGATAAAGACGGCACGCGCGTGCACACAATTATTATCTTCAGGCTGATTTTTGCACACCGTCAAGTGTCATACATGCTGCGAGATGGTGTGCAACGGTCATGACGCACCCGAGCAATACACTTCGGCTGACGAACGCCAATCTAAATCGTTGCAGCAGCAGAGGCCGGAGATACCGCAGCTGCTGCAGCAAATGCACGCGCGGCAATTGCCACCGGGCGCAGCGATGGCTCATCCAGGTTTACCTGGACTTCCAGGATTGGGGCCGGCTGCCGGGCTTCCGGTAGCGACTTCCGCCTCCGCGGCTTTGCTCGGTCTCGGACTGACGCCCTGCTCGACCACGACCCCCGGCACGACCACCGCCGCGCATTCCCTGTCGATGCTCGGCAAGCCGGATATCCACCGCGGTCAGGCCGACGATCTCAAGAGCACCGGAGGTAAGTCGTCGGTGTATCGATGCCAGAGTATACATTCTATCGCTATGCAGCCGTGCGATCGCATTGTTACACACAGGGTGTCCCGACACAACCTCCGACTGCGTCGTTCCTTTCAGCAATCCCAGTTCGCCCTATTGTCTTGCTATCTCGTACGACCAGTCACAGAAAGACTGCGCCACTTTTTTTCCGATGAGTTTTCCAACTCATCTCGTATCCAATAGGAAAATGTACCTCCTAAGAATTAGTAGTGATAGTAGTAGCCCTGGAGAGGGTAGAGTTAGTTTGACCCCTAACGTCAACTAGACTTGAAAGCCCCACTGTGACTTCCCGCTGGCTTTATAAGATTATAGTTTCTTCTGAGAAATATTAAGAAACAAATTCTCCAGTTGGACACGGGATGCGTTCGGAAACTTACCAAAAAAGTGTTGTAATCTTTTCGTGACTGACTATACCATTCGACTTTTTTTTCACTTTTTCCCCGAGAACGGTTCTTCGCGTTAACTTTGTTACGTTGAATGGGGGAGGAAGATGTGGCCCGTGCCGGCATCAGTTCGATCTCGACTCGATCGTCAGCCCTATTCTCGCCACGATCGACGACGCGGCGGCGGCAGCGGCGAACGAGAAAAGAGGGGAACTAACGAAGGGCAAAATTTCGACCTCCGGTCACGTTCGATTTAACGTTATACCCGGGTATAACGAATCGCTGCCGCGTGAGAGTGAGCCGCCTAGCCTAGCGACCGTCACAGAGTTAGCAGAGATCGGAGCGCGAGGGTGTAAAAAAAAATCTATACATACAGATATATATCTATATATCTGAACATATACATATATATATATATATGCATGCATGCATATATATATATATATATATAAATGACTGACTCTCTCTGGACAACCCTGTCTCTCGCCTCGGCCGGAAAATGTTCAAAGCGCTTTATTACGGGTATCCGCTCTCGGAGGGAGACAGAGGGAATGAGAGAGAGAGAGAGAGAGGGGGGGGGGGGGGGA